AGCGGCGCTGGGATCGTTGTGTTCACTCCCAGGGGAACTACTTCGAGGGTGATGGATGAATTTAATACCTGAGATAAGTGTACGGGTTTTTATAGGCGCAGTATGGAAACTTTCCGATCGCACCTTGTACATGTACTTAAGGAAAGAGTTTACGAGGTTCTACATGTTGTGGCATGACTTAGTGGTGCGTAAGTTCTATGAAAATAATAATTGCTGCGATTAATTTATGGGAAAGAAGGACCTAGTCGTGCCAACCTTCATTCGAGTACACTAAGTGATTATTCAGGGTAACATATCTTTGGAAGCTGAGAGAAGAACGTCCAGTTGATTTCGTTGCTATATATGAAACGCATAAAAGGTAATTATTGTTTAAAATTCAGGAATTGCTTTCGTCCATCCAATATTTTTAAGGATTTATGTTAAAAACAGGACTTTCACGTGTGTATTATTTGGTAGAATGAAACGTAAAGGGCACTGAGGTATCAGTGACATTCTCAAACAATATTTATTAGGTATTAGTAGGTGGCAAGTTCACTCAGTACTGTTATGTTCGATTATGTAATTCCACAATTGATTTTATAAAAACGTACTTTTTATATAAATGCATGAGAATGTTTGTTTTTAGTTACTTAGAGATACACGAGAGCAATACGACTGTTTACGAAAATGAAACAGGATGATAACTAGATTAGACGTTTCGGTGTTCGATGAAGTTAAAGGAAATATACGCGTCCGTACATCTCTGCTATAAGAAACTGGCGAGTGAACCATTTTCCGCGTCGCTGTGTTTTGTAAATATGTGAAGTCAAATACGAGTCTAGGTATGTAAGTGTTTAATGTATGGAGCGGTTGCAACATGTATTTGATTCGTATATTGATATCAAAACTACATTCTAACTTTATATTAGGTTGACAAGACCTCGTAGAATGTTACCATTATCTCCATATTCGTAGTAATTTCGTCCGATCTTAACAACTGTATTAGAAGGTCTGCAGAGTCAATTGTCAGTGATAATAAATGAATTTAATTGCTTAATTAAGCGAAACCATGCGAAAACCTTCCACTGAAAATATTATAATGCATTTGGAAACTTTTATATAACGTTTAAAAGCTTCACAATGAGTAATGTGCCAGTGAATATACACGTTAACTGTTAATAGGTATGTCTAAGATCGTAAATTGTAAGTTATTGAAATATAAAAAAGTAACTATAATTATAGTAACTTATAAAATGAAAATTATACACAGTTGAACGGCTAATATATAGAATCACAAACCTTAAATTAACGTGAACTTACTTAGTTTTGTTAACACCTAGCTGGGTAGATTTATTCAATGTCGATGTAGAAATCTCATTACTCACTTGCTTAATCTCCTCACGCAAGACACACACACACACTCCTTTGCTCACCGATTGTGCGTCCTCCAAATAAATTCCTGTAGTTTTTTCTTCAAACCGAGCTTCTTAACCTTGAGCACACTAGCGACATCTCGAGACCAGTATAGGGATCATTTGACTGCTGTCCTTGATGACGTAGGGCGTCTCTTGTAAAACTTGTTATGCTGTTTCATGGTGACCAGAAGATACACGAGTCTCGTTGAAGATTAGTTAAGTCAATAATGATGTAATTTAGTGATAGCGAAATGCTTTTGACTGATTGCTAATGATATTACAGGTCACTTGGATAGGCAGATTACACATTTGTAGTGGAAAGTTATAGGAATGATGGATGTCACAAATGTCACAACATATTTAATATTATCAAACCAAATAAAGTAATATCATCGTTTCTTCTTAATTTAACTGAATTAAGGTCTAACAATGTAATCGAAGTTTAATTAAGAAAGTCATGAAATATTCTGTAGTTCCTACAAAATATTCGTCATCGTATGCTATGTCTACCGTTCTCTGGTACGAGTTACTGATGTGATTTGTGTCTTGTCGTCGTTCTTGTACGACCTATATTCTGTGTTGTGTCCTCTTGCTCTAGGGCAAGCTGCTTCTTAAAAAGAGAATCCTCTGTTCTACAGGACACAATGAAACCGCAGAGAGTGTTCAGATATTGTGTACTGAAATTACGATAAGCTGAAACACGTAGGGCGTAGTCTATAATAAAATACTGAAACCGCGTTTTAGGTGCGAATTGTGGATTAGTGACTGTTAAACATTAAGAAATGGTAAGGCGGTACAATTTCGATATTTTTTTGGTCTTTATTTTTTAAAAGAGAACTATTTTTAGAACAAGGTTATATTGTGTTAAAATAGGAAGCGTCACACACAGGAATGTAGTATCAACCTTATAAGAAAACAAAAGAGTATTCATGGAAAGAATTTTAATATGAAAAACAATTGATCACAGTGACGAACAATTTCAAAAACAAACAACGTTTCCAAAGATTAATGTATTTTTTCTTAAAGCGCCGAATTCTTACTTGATATTGTCAATGTTCTACTCGTCATCTGTATCTCGCAGGACATTTCGGTAACATCGTTTCAAACAAGCGTCTCATCGGCTATGACTTATTTTAATCCGAAGCCAAGTGCTTAGAAATCAAGGTTTTTCTTTTCTCCTGGAGTAAGGATAATCCCTCTAACAGTTGCTTCCTGCGTTTGCTTTGAACAGTGATGTCCTTCGCTGGCCTTTGGCGTCAGTTCTCTGATCCTCGGTGGTTGGTGGAACAAGTATTCTTCCAGTTACATTTCTGTCCTGCTCAGTTCCATACAGTGGAAGCAGACTACTTGAAACATTCGTTTCGTCAGGAAAGACGCCTTTTTCCAAAGGGAAGATTCTTGTTCCTTTTCAGAAATGCACGAATTTAGTCAATTTCACCTAGTTTTTTCTCACTGCCCCATGGTCGTTTGAATAAATTTGTTTCGGCCAACGAATACGTCGCCCCCTGCCAACTTAGTCAGCACTTTGGCCCAAAACAATATTTTCTAAATGAAGAAGCCGATTTAACAAAACAGTTCTTTTAATCTGAATTAAAGATTGTCGGATGGCCACTTACTTCTCTCAAGTGAGTATTCAAATCCAGCAGACACAAGATTAACATCGGTTACTATGTTTCGTGGTGTAGTGAATGCCACACAAAATAATTTTGATTCTCTCCTCATGGATAATGATCCATTTACTACTGCATTTATAGCTTTTCTCATGTTCACGTTTAACTTATTCGGCGTCTTAAACAGGCTACTTTAAAACGAAATTGAAAAATGTAGATATTGTCTTTAGAGTTTTAGCAACTGTGTGTTTAATTTATTTCATATTTTTCGTGCTTGAAAGGAAAAAAAGAATTTGCCACAGGTATTTAAAAATAAGATTTCTTGAATAAATAATGATTATTCTGTAATAAGTGAGACATTTTGTCAAAAGTATTTTATTTGAAGTAGATGTTGATAACATACTGTTTTAATATAATACTGATGGCACTAACGAAGAATAAAGAAACAAATTTTTAACGGGAATTATTCTTTCTGTTCAAAATTGTACTTATTTGGTGAAAGAAATTTTACCCAAATGGCCACTATTCAGCCACACAGGTAATATTATTTCCACTGACCATTCTCAGCTGCAGATGGAAATTAAAATTTACTTCCTAATCTTCTACCAGCCGATGCTGTTGCTCAGCTGCAGATGGAAATTAAAATTTACCTCCTATCTTCTACCAGCCGATGCTATTGACCCTTTCTAATATGGCACTGTCATTTCTTATATGAGCCCTTCCTGTGATAAAGTCTCCACCAGAGAAAACTGGTAGTAATATCAAGAGAAATTTTAACACTGTTCTGAAATATCACTAAATAGTCATGGCCACCGATCTTTTAACCTTGGAATGAAATTCAGGATTTTCTTTAATTTTATGGAAACTGTTTCTCCTTACCCCGTTGCTGCTATTTGCTTAAAATTAAAGATCGAACATGGCGGTTGATGATTTGTATTCAAAACGTCCCAGATTCAAATCTGAGGTAACTTATTAGCTTCTCAAGAAGGCGTTTAACATGCTAAGTTATCCACCCAGATAGTCATCCGAGTAGCACAAAAGTAATTTACGCCTAAGTATGAATCGCTAAATTGACTGAGAACTTCAATGTACGTATATGCCAAGTTGAGAATCCTTGAAATTTTACCTCCGTGCCTTTCGACGCGTCCTTACTATGTCACTACAATTTATAATTAGATTTGTAAACAACCTGTTACGAGTCATCAAGAATACAAATGACCCTCATGCTGACACTTCTTACCTAACCTGATCAAAATTAATTTTTCTGATAGTCAGTATTAATTCATATAATTTACTTCGGAAAGAAACTTGACATTAAATTAAAACTCTTCCTATTTCAATAATAAATGCATGAGAGGCTTTGGGCACGTGGATGTTACATTTACTGTTGAATAGTTTGGAGTGTTAAAGACTAAGATGACGGTCTCATTTATAAGCAGCCTAATTCCCTAAATGCTTCGACACTGCAATCTTTCGCTTCAGAAGTGGATAACCCCGCAGTTCGTCAATAAACTTCCTGCCTTCATGGAACCCATGGGTTCATTACCGTTTTCAGAGGAATTCACTACAACCTCCTACTACAAGTCCCTTTTTGGAAGTAATTTAATATTGTCCACATCCTCGCACCCTATCTTTTAATATGCGCATTCATTTTAATATTATACTCTCCGTGCCACGGTGGTCTGGCGGTTAGAAGGCTGGCCTTGTAATCCTGGGGTCTCGGGTTCGATTCCCGGCGGTGCCCGAATTTATAACTTGTGTTGGGCAAGGCCGTGGTCTAGGCAACACGGAGTTTTCCTCCGGGGGCTTCCTCGGTTTCTCCGTGGCATCCCAATAATTACTCCATTCACACACAGAAGAAGGCAATGGCAAACCACTTCTGGATCATCTGCCAAGAACGTATATGAACAGGTCCCAATCCGAGAAAAGGATGGAAGGTCCTGTTCATATGGACCTGTCGGCAGACAGAACACTACAAATAAAACAAAAAACTCTCATATACGCGTTTAGTATCCAGAGCTGTGCAAAGTGTTCCTTATGCGTGCAACACGTGTTCCATGTACCATCAGTTTTATTCTTTTACGTAGCATGAAACAAATTATATTTTGTGAAGAAAGAAATCCACGTACGTCGATGCGTGATGTTTTACAACCTGTCGATTCAGCCTTTTAAGGGTCAAATGTTTTTATTATTACAAAATATCTGTTCCATTTTCTTTTCTTGGGTAGAAAGTCGAAGTATAGCACGCGTATAAGACAATAGTTATAATTGTAATTAATTTGGCGTAATTTACTTTGCACATGTCCAAGTTGAAATGCGAGTCTTTCTGACCTGAAAGATGGCAAGAATGCTACGAACTTTATCTGCTCTGATGTCTTTAGGGCTACGCATTTTATGTTAAGTATTATAAAATTCTGAATAATGTTATAAAAGAGGCTAAAAAAGCAGCATTACAGTAGACTTATAGCAAAATCAGACAATAAAATAAAAACAACATGGAACATAATAAAAAGGGAGATAGGAAAAATATATTTATCAGAACAGATGCCATCTCTTCTAATAAACAATGAAAAAGTAAATGATCCTGGAACGTGGCTAATGCCTTCAATAAGTTTTCTCTAACAATTACTGAAAGCTTAAATTTAAATCAAACAGGGACAGAAGATGCTGTTTCCATTTTAAAAGCTGCATTTCCTGTAAAATTTACTGGCCTTAATATCATTCCGTACCTGCCACGGTGGTCTAGCGGTTAGAACGCTGGCCTTGTAATCCTGGGGTCTCGGGTTCGATTCCCGGCGGTGCCCGAATTTATAACTTGTGTTGGGCAAGGCCGTGGTCTAGGCAAAACGGAGTTTTCCTCCGTGGCATCCCAACAATTACTCCATGCACACACAGAAGAAGGCAATGGCAAACCACTGCTGGATCATCTGCCAAGAACGTATATGAACAGATCCCAGTCCGAGAAAAGGATGGAAGGATCCTGGTCATATGGACCTGTCGTCAGACAGAACACCAAATAAATAAA